AGAAATTCCTAATTTTACGTTTCGTGAATACGTTTTATACTTTTTCTAGCATACCTAATAAGCAGAAGAAAACTGATCTTATTTGACAGACATTAGTCCTGAAGTGGTATTTTTGCCATAATTAGGACTCATCCAAGCATTACGTGCTCCTGCTCGAGCGCAATTTTGGTCGTGCAGCCATAATGAAGGATTTTTAAAAGAAAAATGCAGACACTTGGGTAACACCGCCCACTTGGGAAATTTGGTATAAATAATAGCGCTTTGTGACACCTGACCTGCAGGAGTGGCGCATTTCAAATTCAGAAAGAACGTTGTTGCTGTGTTTTCTTTTTAGAGGAAAATGAAAAATTTCGAGAAAATGAAATATTGGGAATATACGGACCATAAATCATGTGTCACGTGACTGATGCGTGATATAAGATTTCCGTGACTTGTGATGACCTGACCGTGACCTGAAAATCAAAGTACCTACAAGTTTGGTACCCTCAGGGTATCTAAAGCATCTATTTACGAGTGTGTAAACAAGGCATGAGCCTGCTCTGACTTGTAAAGCGGCGGCCAGAGCCCAAACTGTAAAGAAAGCAAAACGTTAACCCGCGCCGGGACGGTGCTCTGAGATTCCGCGCCGGGCCGGGGGGGGGGGGGTGTCTGAACACCCCCCCCCTTCTAACTCGGCTCCTGAGCCACGTAGCGACATGCGGTAAGCGGCAATCGAAAGAACGTCCAAAATAAGGACGAAAACACTTCGGTCATTTTTTGGGTCAGGTCAAAGGTCAGGTCACCAGAGGTCACGCAAGGTTCACTATTTTAACATTTTGGAAACTGCCAACGGCTATCTCGGGAACCGATACAGCTACAGCGCCGCGGAAAAGCGCATTCGATAGCCCTTTCACATACCTTTCTTAATAATGCTCTCAGATTTGACCTCAGGTCAACGATTTAGCCTCCAGAGGGCAAAAACTCCAAAAATAGCCGTTTTTACGAAAAACGTTTTTTCGGCAATGCCTTTTGACTCAAAAGAACCATGACACATTACTTTTGCCAGCATCGTGTTCCTCTCGTCGAGACGCGTCGAATAAACTATAATTTGACCTTGAAAGGTCAACTTGAAAATTTGACCTCAGGTCAAGGTCATGACCTGACCGGAAAAGGTCATGTTGCATATCAGTCGATCCGCAACGTCAAGCCGAACACATCTATGGCGTTTTCGGCGCTCTAGCACGCCTCTATCAGAAGTTATTAGCGAAAAACTGTTAGATTCTGTTCGTGACCTGAGATGACCTCGGGGGCATAACGAGGGGTCACAGTTGCCATTTTCCGGTTCAGTGTGTCAATTTTACCTTCATCTCGATGTTTGAGAGTGTCTAGAATAACGTTCGTGCAAAACAGACGCTTTTCAATTTTCTCCCATTGGCTTATAATGGAAAGGCCGCAAATTTGACCTGACCTCAGGTCACCGATATCAAAATTCCGAGATATACATTTGATAGATAATGTTGCTCTGATCAATCTCTGAACGTTTCAAGGCAATCGATCAATCGGTGCAGCTATGACGAGCATTCTTACTTTTTTCTGAGGTGAGGTCACTTGGCGTGACCTGACCTAAGGCGACCTGGGTCTGAAATTTTCACAACATGTGCGGAAAGATGCACAAACAGGTGTGCCAAAAACGGCGGCGCGAGATATCTGCGAAAAACCGCAGGGGGGGGGGTTAAAGGGACTATCCCACCTTTAACATGGGGTTTGAGTTGAGATAGCCAAGTTTGCGGCGAGGTTCAGAAACCACTATCTATCTAGGTTGCAACCCCCGCGGCCTCTTGGTGTTGAAGAAATTCGTTCCCTTCATTTGAAAATGGGCCTTGTACAAGGCCCTATCTTCAACATGGAGCGACCGTTAGTGTGACGTCACCTCGTTTAGTCATTCTGATTTAAATGGGTTTGTTCGTTGAAAAATCGCTTAAAACTTGGTCTGAACTTTGTTGTGGTGCCTACAGAGTAAAAAGAATCAGCTTTATGACAGTAATGTGGCCTGGGGAAGGAGGTTATTTTGGGCTGTGACGTCACATATTTGAAAGTTTGTGTTTGGAATATGGGAAGCCTAAGATGTTTAATGAAAAATAAATGCCAGAACCGTGTTCCTGGTCATCCAATCTATAAAGTCGGACAAAATTTAACTGGTTTTAACAACATTTTAGAGGGTGGGACAGTCCCTTTAATAGTTTTTATTTTGACCTGACCTGAAACGTCACGGGTGACCCCGAGGTCAATGGCATTAGGTTTTGCGTGGCAGTTTTTCAGGGCTATCAGATGCCGTCTGAATTTTGACAATCAGCGCAGTAGTTTCGGAGTTAGGAGGGTGTTAGGGGCTTAACCCGGCGGCCGCTGGGCCTCCGCGCCACCCGCCGGCCGCTGGGGGGCATATAGTTGCCCCCTCTTTACTTCTGCGACGATATCGTCGCAACGCGAAGAGATAGAGAAGCGAAACTTTGCACACATCTTTCTGAATACCTAGCCGAGGTTGTGTCCAAATTTGGTGTCGATCCCATTTGAAATGACGTTAGAGTGACGTCATAAGTGAAATCATAGATTTGCGACTCTCATATTCCTCACGATACATCAGATATATGGGACCGAATATAGGTAAAGGGTCGATTATTGGTCAGAAACTAGCTGGAAGTGTAGTTAGATGTTTTAGGATGACAGCAGGTGCTGTCTAGTTCATTTACAGTTGAGTTTCATGCTCAGCGTCATCAGAAACGGTCCATATCGGAAAACGACAAAACTTTATGACGTCACTGTGACGTCATCTTAGGTGCTACAACCACCAAACTTTCCTCAAACATTGCCTAGGTATTCATTTGAAGCTATGCCAAGTTTCACCTTCGTAGCTTATCAGGTTTCGGAGATATTTTTACAAAACGTAAAAGGGGGCAACTTTATGCCCCCCCCCCCCCCCCCCAGCGGCTCGTGGGTTAACCCGCGCGGGGCTGGGGGGGTAAATTTTACCCCCCCCTCGCGAATTTTTGCAATATCTCAAAAACGGCGGCGCGCAGCGTCGCCAAACTTTCAGTACCTTTTCTTACATCAATTTGACACGTTCCCTGGAAATTTGAGCGAAATCCGTCGGTAAATTTTTGAGAAATTGACGTTTTAGTGACGTCATGTTCGCCATTTTTGCCTCAAAAACGGCAAAATTTCAAACACCGCTAACATCTTCATTTTTAAAGGAATCAAGACGTAACAAAAAAAAGGTTATACGTAATTCTACTTTGTCTATCAAATGGCTATTCCGTTTTTCTGAAAATATTGGATTTTGGCCCAAATTTTTTCAAAAAACTGTCTTTTTTGGGAAAATACTTCTAAAATCCAAAATTTTGAGTGAATCGAAAAACCGGAATATATGTCAGAGAAGTGGTCTATGTGCACCTACATATTAATTTTTAGAAGAATCGGTTCGAAAATGTGGGAGTTATTCAAAATTTTATGACGTCACAACACACAAAATTTTTGAAAAATGATTTTTTGGAAGTTCTAGACCTCGTACGGAAACAAAAATAGCATCATTCGATTCGCCGTGAAAAAACTGCATCAGGTAGACACCTTTTTAGGCCTTAACAACCACCTTCAAAATTTGACCTCACTTGACCTGACCTTGACTTGACCTCGACCTGAAATTCATCCAGAGGTGGTCCATATCACTTATTGAGTATGCCTATTTAATTCTATGAGTAAAATGACCCATAAAACATGTGTCGCACATGCCCTTTTCTATATTTTGCTTTTGGTGACCTGACCTGACCTGACCTGACCTTGACCTTGACCTCTGAATGATATCGTATGCAACTTATATTGTCTTGGTAGCCTAAGAACACGTTTTGGGCAATCAGTCTCAGTCCATGACTCCATTCTTCGGCAACTACGGTGCAAGGCCGATACTGTAGAAACCTGCAATTTGTACCCTTGACCTGACCTTGACCTTGACCTTAAACTTTAAAATAAGTACATGTTTTTAGTTGTTCGTGATGAGATCTTTCGACTGGCGTTTGAATTTTCCAAATCGGACCATTAGTTTGGGAGATAACAGGGGGGGGGGGTAAAATTTACACCCCCCCCCCCAGCCCCGCGCGTTCGGCTGGAGACCCCAGCCCCGCGCGGGTTAATTGAGTAGCCCCCATTCCAGTGAGGCGCGTTACAGAACATACCCCAGTGGGGGGGGGGGGGCGGGTTAACGCAACTTTATTGCTGCGAATGTTATGGGTTACTTATTTCTTCCAACAATGCATGCAAGTCAAATAAATCGCACCTAACAGTTCACAAAGAAGAAAGTCCAATGCGGCCTATCACATCCGGAATCGGAGAAGCGCTCGTTAACTGCGGCCAAAGTGCCAAACCTCTTTCCTGTTGGACCCATAAGCGGCACTCACAGAACACATTGGGGAATGGAGATGATGGGCAAAATGAATTGACCGACGTATATAGTTAAGGAGGAGCGGTAAATAGGCACAAACTAGCCCATTGGAGAGATGACTGAACAAAAATGATATTAATCTTCTTATCCCAAACCTCTGAAATGGTGTAGGTAGAAATAGACCAGAAGGAAATGAACAAACAATCGAACACAGCCATTAAGTCATGTATTAAACGATTTTCATGTGTGCATCTGCATTTTGTTCAACACACTTTGTACAACAACGTCTCATGGACGACACACTTGGATAAGTAGTTATACAAACTTGTACTATTGTTGATACGCTATACCTCAGACGGAGCGGTTCGCGGAGTCGCTATTAGCACTGCACATATGAGACTATTTACTTCGGAGGATGTGTGCAAGATTCCTAGAGATGGGTGTGTGCATCTGTGTTCGATCCCGCTCACACATGCGGGTAAGCCAGGCAAGACACCTTCCTCCGTTCCGTCCACCCCATCCCTGTCCTCCTCAGACGGCCAGCCGTGTCAGCCCGCGCCCCGTCCCTGTCCTCCTCAGACGGGCAGCCCGGTCAGCCCGCGCCGCCAGTCAGGAGTCGCGGCCGTCCTCCCGCCGGGGCGGCCGGAGCGGGCAGCCAGTCGGGCCAGCGCGGCACCGGCTCGTACCGCAGCGGCGGGTACAGCAGCGTGGCGCCGTCGCAGCGGTGCGCGCGGATGGCGCTGCCGTCGGCCGGGTAGCAGTCGACCGGCTGCCAGCGCCGGTCCACGCACACGCGCAGCTCGCTGAGCAGCGGCTGGGGCGCGCCGCGCGGCCGCTCGCAGCGCACCAGCGCGCGCCGCGGCAGCAGCGCGGCCAGCGCGGCCAGCAGCCGGGCCGTGCCGTGCGGCCGCCGGCGCGGCCCCAGGCCTGCCCGGCGCAGCGCCGCGCCCGGGTCGTAGCGCAGCCCCAGCTCCAGGGCGCGTACAAAGTAGTCGAGCTGCGAGCGCGCGTCGCCGGCGGCCAGCGCGCACGTGCCGTGCTTCTGCCACTCGTGCTGCCAGAACTGGCGCGCGCTGCGGTCGGCGTACACCTCTGGCCAGAGCCGGAGCAGGGCGGCGCGCGCCGGCGCCAGCTCGGTGGCGTTGAGCGGCTGGCCGGAGCAGTTGTACGGGTTGCCGGCCGCCGCGTCCGGCCACAGTCCGTGCACGGCCCAGCCGTCGACGGTCGGCGGCATGGCGCAGCCGGCGCCCGTGTCGGCCAGGTGCTGCAGGCAGCTGGTCTGCGGCCAGAACAGAGCCAGCACGTAGTACTGCACCGCCGGCGCCGGGCCGCCAGCCGCCGCGGCCGTCCCTGACGGCGCAGACGGCCGAGGGGCGGTCCCAGACGGCCCAAGGACGGTCCCAGACGGCCCAGGGACGGTCCCAGGCGGCCCAGGGATGGTCCCAGACGGCCCAGGGATGGTCCCAGACGGCGCAGATGGTGGAGTCGCAGACGGCTGATAGACGGTCCCAGACGGCAGAGGGACGGTCTCCACGCGGCTGAAATCAAAACATCATCACACCGAGTAGGACCACGCGCGTACATTGACAGCATGCACTGTATGTAGGTATGCATGAGGGTACACTCATCATTGATTACGAGGGAGCGCGAAGCTACCTATCTTGCATATGCTAAGGAAAATTAACCCAGTGTGTTTTCAGATCGAGCCTGAGTTCAACAGATCATCCTTCAAAGGGAAAAATCTCGAAAAAAGGTGCTGTAATGAAAATACTTTTATTGCAATACAAAGTGCAACAGCTTTGGCGTAATATTTGTTTGGTATAATCCTTGCTGGCAATGATCTGGGAATGAAAGTTCCACAGCTTATGTGGAATGAGGCGCGCTTCATAACTGTAGTGCCCCACGCACCGTTTTTAGATTATCCACGAAATCCTCGGTGTGACATAAAAACGTTGCCGAGGGTTAGAAATTAATTCGCGGGTCAATATCAACATATACGGAAGTGACTCGAATGTCAAACTGGCAGCCTGCGGTTACCTGAGAGTCCATCCTGCCAGCAGCGGGAGCAGCAGCAGCGCCGGCCGGCCGTGGAGCGGGGCCATGGTTCAGCAGCACGCTCCTCCGTGTGCCGACGGTGCTCGGAGGTCGGGTCCTGCCAGCAGCGGGCCCTCTCGCCGACTGGCCACATCACGTCTGCCGCAGTCACACTCTGACCCGGCCGGGCGCCAGATGTGTCCACGGCCGGATAGGGTGGAGGGCGTCGGCCCGCCGCGGGACGTCTCCAAATGACAGCCGGCGACCTCTTATCGCGGCGCTATCAGTTCCCCGTTAGACCAGAAGAGCCGGCGTGTTGGGGTGCAGGGGGAGGGAAGGGACGGCGCGGCGGGGGGGGGGGATTACTGGAGGGAGCAGCGACCGCGCTGATACGGTGTGGCTAATCGGGCGCTCAGTTGCCACAGCCACCGACGTTTTTAGCAAAACAACCACAGAGAAACGCTGCCATCCGCCGGGCCCTACCAGTAGGTGCTGCTCCGGCTCCGCGACAGTTCAGCTGAACAATGCGGTTCGCTACTGCAGGACACGCGCACACTGAGACACCGAAGGGACACTGTGGTACCGGCGTACACGTATGTAGGGGAAGCGGGGGGAGCACCGCCACCTTAAGCATTTCTGCTCACCGAGCTGATATGCGTAGTAAAAACGAAGCTCTTTTGCATTCATGTGAAAGTAGGAATGTTTTCCTACATGTTGGCATAGTTTCCAGCGCTCCATTATAAAATTTCGCTACTTTACAGACGTCGAAAACAAGTCCTGCATTTTTCGTCCTCCAAAAAATGTGCGGGTAGCACCGCCACTGATGGCGATGTTATCCACAGATCGGCCTTACGGTGACAGCCACCCTTGGAAGCGTTACTGCTGTCTGAAATAGTAACTCAAACTCATATAAGACACACAAGAATTGGTTGTTAGTTTGTCACAGATCAGACTGTTTGTTGCGGACAATATGCATACAAAGCATGACAAATTCACGTTTATTTCGAAACATCCAGTGAAGTCAAACGTGAGGTTAAAAAACAGACGACGTTTGCGGCCTAACTAAAGCTCTTCTCCGAGCTGAGTGAATCATCATTGCGGCTTTATCCATTTTGCCACCCCTTGGGGTAGCACCGCCGAGCATGGCGGTGTTACCCCACTCACAGTCATGGACCGACAACGCCCCGACAGCAAAACAAGCCGGGACGCGATTCTTCTGTAATTCCTTTCTCAACAAAGAGCACTTAATCTTAATGCCCTCAAATTTAACGTAAAAATCAAGGCATTTTGACTTGAAATGACCACTTACTTGCTGCTCAAACATGCCAAATGATTACAACGATGGTTTGAAATTCACAAAATGGGCAATTGCGATCTCAAAATCAAATAAATCTTAGCGAAACCTACCTCACGCGGCGTCCCGTTTCCGTTCGGACACCGAAATGGCGGGTGTTTACATTTACAATTCAGACTAGAGTTTTGCCGATAGAGAGGATGGCGGTGTTTCCCACATGGCGGTGCTACCCCCGCTTCCCCTATATACAGTACCTAACCTAAAAATAATGTCCCCTCGCCACTACGCGGCACTGGGTGTCACGAACCGGTACACAGTGTGGCCAAACGCCAGATTAGCAGGAATCTAATTTTTTTTTTTTGAATTCTGACTTTTGATGCCCATCAATCGGTAAAAAATTGTCCAAGGTATGCAAATAGCATAATACTTTGGTCCAATGTCCTCTTTTGGTGTTAAAAAAGCTAGCTAAAGTGGAAATACGCAATGCAAGTCCCGGCTGTGCTGAAATCGTCGAAATCCCGCGTCACGTTCACAGCACTTCTTGGTATAGTTGTCGAAGATGTTTCGAAATTAATGAAATGGCACATAATTACTGGGCTTTTATATGATAGTAAACCCGAACTTGACCGGTATCCTTGGACTAAACGATGAGTTATGCTCATTTTAAAATGACCCTCTTAGACATCCCATGAAAGCACCGTCCATCGTAAAAACGTAGAGACATAAGAAGATTACCAAACATTCCACGTCAACTCTACCATGGGAAGATTCGCCGTACTTTTCCGAACATGATCCAATCAAGAACCCTTGCCCGAACCTGCCCGGTCTATCGCCGGTTCAGCTTTGAACGTATCGGGTTGGCCCGCCCGCCGAGGCTCGGCTACAGGGTGGGCGCCGTCCGTCTGGTCCTCCCCCCTCCTGCCCCCCCCCCCATAGGGTGTTTCACGATAGTTCGGAACACACTGGAGATAGAAAGCTGAAACTTGACATACCTCAATTCAAGTCGGATCTTGTGACACCAATTGCATTTTCCGGTCAGGTCAGGTCACTGACCTATGACGTCATAAGTGAACCTCTGCACGGTCCTCAGGTGCTGCAACTTCGCAACGCCCTCAGTGTCAGAGCAGCTTTCACAGGGAGGGGAGATGAGACTTACGGGACCTAGTATCCTTCAGAGGTCCCACAACTTGTATATGTAAGATTTTTCCTCAAGGTCACATGAGGTCAGGTAGGTCACGTGACATTACATAAGTCAATAGGGAAAAATGAAACTGCTATTTTGGCGCCGGGAACGATCTCCAACTATCTCAAGAACACAGAATCATCGTGATTTGATGCACTCCTTGCAAGGTTAGATGCCTCATTTTTGCAATGTTAACCTTGCGTGACGTCATTTATGACGTCATCAAGGTCATATTAGTTTTCGTCAATAACTCCCGATCCAATTGAGCTAGCGAGTCGCGAAAGCGACCAATGGACTCAGGAAGACCTGCCGAATCGAATGATATGCGACATGACCTATTTCGACCATTTTCGTGACATGGGGGCGCTGACCTGACCGTGACCTGAGGTCATCACCCTAAGTTGACCTGAGCCAAACAAAAAGTATATCATTCGATGCGCCTGAGCGAGGTGAACACGATGCTGCCAAAATCGGCGCTCTGCGGCCGTTTTTTGCGAAGTTATTCACCAAAAACTGAACCGAACCTTGGGGCACTTGACCTGACCTCAGAGGTCACCCACCAGTTAACCTAGAACCTTAGAATCGGGTACCAATCTCTGCGTCTCGTAACGGCGCACACGATCGTTTTTTCGGGACGCGCTGGCTCCACCAGGGGCGAAACGGCGAGGGGGGGGGGGTCGTACCCGCCCCCCTCGGCCGGCGCGTATGTATAAAACCAGTATAACGCCTTTTGGGGCGACTAACGGAGCGAGCGAGAGGGTGAGCCTTGCAAGTGCGAAATTTCGAGGGGGTACCTCCAGCTGACTTGTGCACGGCACCCTACTAACCGGTCTCTAGCGATGTGCCACATTTGAGCACAATCGGCCCAGCCGTTCTCGAGATCTGGAAGCGGCACCCTGCACGTGCGCACGTGCAAAGTGGGTCCCAACTGACTTTTGCACGGCACCCTACTAACCGGTCCCTAACCATGTACCAAATTTGAGCGCCATCGGTCCAGCCGTTCTCGAGATCTGGAATCGACCCCTGCACGTGCGCACGTGCAGCAGCACCCCAACTCTGGCACATGGATATGCATTGCCTAGTGGGTGCCTAGCTACATGCCAACTTTCAGCGCAATCGGCCGAGTAGTTACCGAGATATTGCAACAATTACAAAAGTGACGCCTCTTCGTTTTGCACGTGGCACGTGCATAAGGGATCACCCACATGCATCGGGAATAGTCCAATACTTGGTAGAAGGAATGAAGCTACCCTACAAAAATTACCGCGTGTAAATCGGTCAAGTGGTTGCTGAGATATAAGCGTCGCAAAAGCGTGACCACGGCCGGCCGCTCATACTCAGAAATTTCCGTTAATCTAAGGAAAGACTACGCTCGCTTCGCTCGCTCCGTAACCAATAGGTCCGGCGAGGGTTAACCCTCGCATGTGTAGGGGGGGTCGGATGGACCCCCCATGGTTTTTCGCGAATAACTCGCGTAAAAAGCGGCCGATCGCGACGAACCTTTCAGTACCCTCGCATTGATCAATTTTACACCTACCCTGAAAATTTCATGACCCTGACCCAAATGACCTTTGATCTGTGACCTCTTTCCCGAGACCATGTTTAGCCGGAATCGCGATTTCGCGTATGTCGGCTCGCATTAGCCGCGCGTTTGCAAGCTTTTCGTGGTTTCAAACGTTCAAACATGTGATTTGATGTTGCTCCCATACATAAGGGTGGGTGTCAAGGTCACCTGAAGGTCAGGTCAGGTCATTGACCTTTGGTGACCTCGGGTGACCTCGGTTTAGTTTTTCGAGTTTTACATGTTTCTAGGCTAGTTTTTGGAGATGAATTCGAATTTAGCAACCATTTGAACATTTACGAAATAGTTTTGGTGACTTCGTAACATGTTACGAAGCTGTCAGAGGCGGTTGACACGTACTACGAATACCCGTCACGACGCCTACTGGTTGACCTGACCTGACCTGACCCGACCTGGTCTTAATGCCCCGCGCCCCGTAGGGGGGGGGCCGAAACGGCCCCCCTGTCCTTTTCGGTCGATATCTCCTAAACGGCTAGAGATATCGCCACCAAACTCTCAGGACCCCTCCGGGCATCAATTTTACACATTGTGACCAAAAATTTTTCCAGAGGCTATGATAGGTTGGCCACAAATGACGTCAGAATGACGTCATGTTCTGTCATATTCGACCGAAAAAAGACCTTCGCGAGAAGACCTGTCAGGCCTACAGCTTTGAAGATACAGAAAAATGATCCAGACATAAAAGGTGTAGAATTGACAGGGCTACAAAACTGCTATCTCGGATTTTTGAAACTTTTGTGTTTAGACCCCCAAAAACCAAAAAAGCATTTTTTTTTTGATATATTAGCCAAAAAATCCAAAAAGCTTTTTGAGTTTCGAAAAAACCGGAATATATGTGATAGTACCTACTGTCTTCTATCTACATACCAAATTTCAGATCAATACCTCGCTTTTTGGCCAAGTTAGAGCGAAAAAAAACTGTTCAAAAATGATGACGTCAATCAAACTCAATTTTTGGCAATTCTAGACCTCGTAGAGCAAAACAAAGACCACCATTAGACTCCCCGTGACGAGCTGCATCGAATCGATACCCATTTTATGCAAAAATATCAACTTGAAAATTTGACCTAATTTGACCTGACCTTGACCTGATCTTCACCAAAACGTGACCTAGGCTGGCCCCAAAGGCTGCCTAACCCACATAATCGCATTTGTTATGTAAAATGGACCATAAAACATGTATTGCACGACACTTTCATATTGTGACCCCCGGTGACCTGACCTCGCTGTGACCTGAC